CAAAACTGTACTTATGATCAAAAGAAATACACACACATATCCGTGCCTATATATTATATACTTTTAACATATGTTATACATTTCTAACATCTACAAATACTAAATTTTTCAAATTAGGACTTAAGTTTGTTCACTATACATACACAGAATTGACTAAATCATATAGATGCCATAAACCTATAACCAGAAATTGTCTTCTAAAGAAGGACAATTTGGCCTAGAAACGTTCTTTTTCTTACTCCTTTTCATTTCTGTCCACTAAATGGACAAGTGTAAGCATTTGTAATGCTAAGAGGTGATTGTAACAATTGTATTTCCCTAAGTTATTTTCAGAAGACTTTCTTGAATATGAAATTTAACAAGAAATGAAGAAAAACTTACTAACTCCACTTTTGTCATAACTGACAACCTCTTTAAATTCTAGAAAGACTAGATGTAAAATGAAAACTGGTTAGTCCATTATAAACACCATAGACCAACAAAGTAAGAAGACATATACAAAACATGGAGGACAAGTGTTTGTTTAAAATGATACAACTGTGAACACATTGCCACTGAGTCCTGAGTGCTGTGTTCTCCTCCCTCTTGCCAGACCAAGTGCATAAACACAATGAGTACTGCTCCAAGAGAAGGTTTAGCCATTTCCTTCCTCAAAGATAAGATTTCACGTAAATTTCATATGAAAGTCTTATTTTACTACCACTAGTATAAATACATTGGACATTTCTAAATATTTAGAAAGTCTGCATATTTGAAATAAGAACTTATTTGTCCATTTATGCAGAATGCCATTCAACAAAACTGCACACACAAAATGATGCTTATGGTTTGAGGTGTCTCCTAATTGTGTCCATCTTGGTCTTAAACCATGTCCTCCTCTCTTCACCCTTTTCACCACCAATTCAGTGGACAAGTATAGACAAGTGTACTGCTTAGAGGCGGTTGAAGAAATTTAAATTTATTTCCAAAAGTGTTTTACAGAAGACATGTTTTCCTATGAGTTCCAATACAAAGTGTACAATGTTTTAGTTTTCTTAACACAATTAAGAATTCATAGAATTCTTTAACACATAGATAATAGAGGTTGCAAAATTGGGATGTATTCATTGATTATGTGCTTATAAATATTGTAAAACAAAATACAGCTCACAAGGGAAGTTTAACTATTTTATTTCCAAAATATATGATTTAATCTGAAAATAACAAACATAATTAACAAAATGTGTTATTTTATTTCACTGTTTTTGACAGACTTTGTGGACCTCAGAACATATAGAGTGACTAGATATTTCAAAGAAAAGTAACATTATCAATGATATAACAAAAGGGGAACCAATGCACAAAGAGATGATTAATGTTTTGAGTGATGGATTTACTAATTACTCAGATTTGATTATAACACATTTTACATATGTATCAAAATATCACACTTACCCCATAAATATGTACAAGTATTATGTCAATGAAAAACAATAGCAAAATAATTAAAATAAGAAAAAGTAAAGGGAAATATTGTTTTGAGGGGTGTGTGGGGGTGGGGAGAAAAAATGCATACACAGAATGCATTTGTTATAACATGAAATATCCTCTAAATATGAACTCTTTTCTTTCTTTCTTCTCAAGTCCTTTGCTCCACCTCCTCTAACCCACCAAACAAATGTGTTCATATGTTGCTCCTGATGTCCCTTTTAGTGGTTATATTCCCAGATGTCATTTCCAGAAGATATTTATTTTTAAGTGTTTTTTAAAACAAAAGGTCACCTACAAGACCTGTGATTTTCTAACTCTACATTTTTAACATATGTCAGCAACCTTTTTATTTCTAGAAGCCTAGATGTGGCAAAATAAGAATTTAAAGTTGTCTTTTAAAAGGTTGACAAAAATTGAGAGAAGTCTTTTTATAGTTATATGCGTTAAGCCTTTTATAAATGACCTGAGCATCTTTCAAAACGTTGTTGGGCACTCCCTGCTGACCAAATGAAGTACGTTGTTCTAGTTTTTCTCTCGCCCACTCTCCCGGCCTGGTAGTAGGCCAACTGCTCACTTGCTGGCCACTGACTTCCCCCTGGCCTTGTCCAGGCTCTGTACATCTGCTTGGACCCAACAAGGCCTGTTCTGTCATGGCCACAGCAAAGCAGGATCTATTTCACTTGGTACAGGGAGGTTGCACCAGATGCCTGGATCTGCATGTCTCCATTAAGCCAAGGTGGCTGAGCTCACATCCATGTAAGCTTCTTCTCACACCTCTGATGCCCCTGTTATCCTCCACAGTGTTCTGACATCTGACAGCTTCTTGGCCCCACTGCAGTAACCAAATGGCTGGACCTAGTTGGGATTCTGGGCAGCCAGGATCAGTGAGGCCACCACCACGACAATCAGGTCATCAGTATATATCATAGCTGCCTTCAGGCCTGGCATGGTCTCCAGCGCCTGGGCAGACCAGTGCAACTGTCCCAAGTTCCCAGCACAAGGGCAGGTTGGTGGCCTGAAGGTCCCCAAAACCCTAGTGCACCAGCATGCTGGTGGTCAGAAAAGCCCCTTGAGGGACCAGCACAAAGGAAGTAGCTGGAAGGGCCCCCTGGGGCAACAGTGTGAGGTTCAGAAAGCAGCTGGAAAGGCCCTTGTTTCCACAGCACATGAGCAGGTGGATGGCCAGAAGGGCCTGGGTTTCTCAGCGGATGGGCATGGTGATGGCTAAAAAGCCCCAACAGGTTATACAGTGGTTATACAATGATTGAAAGGGCTAGTGGGTCTAGAGTTAAGGAGTGGGCCAGTGACTGGAAAAGACCTGGGGGCATCATTGTGTGGCATGCATGATTGCTAATAGAGCCTGAGGTTCCGCAGATCACAGACAGGCTGCTGACCAGAAAGGACCCTGGGGTACTAGCGCCCAGGAAAAATGTTAGCCGAAAGGGCAACGAGGTCTGAACGTATGGGCTCACTGGTGACTAGAAGGGACTCCGAGGTTCCAGCCTGCTGGACAGATGGTTGCTGATAGGGTTCCATACCAAACAGGCAGGTTGATTACTAGAACGAGGGCCTGGTTACCAGAGCAGGAGAAGGATGGTCACCAAAGCCCTTGGTTTACTAACATGTACGTGGCAGGTCAGTGGTAGAAAACAGAAACAGCCCAGTTGCCTCAGTGTAGGATGGAAGGTGACTGGAAGGTCCCAAATTTACTCAACACATAGGCAGAGTGGTGACTAGAAGGTCAAGTCCAAGGCAAGAAAAAGTGTATCTGGAAATTAATACAGAAAGACTTGAACTGGGACTATTGGAATGGGAATAGGAGGACAGTTGCACTAGGGATATGCTGAAAACCTAATTCAGAAACATCTCAGGGAAGGAGTAGGCAAGCAAAGCTTTTGTATGCAGTTGCCATGGGATAGGTGGCTGTGGAAGGAGGAAGTGAGTGCTAAAACTGCTAGCCAGAGGGCTCGAAATTACACAACTATGTAAAATACTGCAATAAGGAGAATGTTGAGGTAAGAAGTGTTTATTTGTGTTTAAGCACAAGGCAGAGGTTTGGGACTGAGATGAGCAAAGCAGTTATAGTGCAGGATGTTCTCATAAAAATTAGCATCTAGCTGTCCTAGTCAAGCCAGTCTAAAATTATGTCAAGCATAAAGTTTCATCAATCTTGTCAGTACCTTCTCTTTTTCAAGACAGACTCAGCCAGAGACTGTTCTTGAACAACTCAGGGATAAAGGGAACCAGAAACAGAATAGCTAAGTGAAATAATCCTCAGTGTGAACGCCTTCTTGTTGGGATTGTCCCTATAGGACCAGTTGAACCATCTGTTGGGCCAGGTGGCAGAGCTCAGTTGTTTTAAGGTCCTGCATTTGAGGCATTTTAAAAGAGTGGTGCCCAAAATGAAAATGATACATACTATTATAAAAGGTTATATGAAAGTAAACAGCCAGGAGTTGAGCACTAAGGGTATCCAGTTAAGCAAATTCCAAGAGGCTGATAGATGAAAATCTTTTGATTATGCAGCATTGCTCATGAGTTTCTGGTACTCTTGGTAATGTTGTTCACAGTATTTGTTACCTCACTTATAAGGACATACATTGCATGATGGATCTACTAGACTTTCTTAGTATCTCAGACATGTGTCCAGTGAGAAATCTAGCCCATGCATAGGCTGCCATGGTAATGAATCCTTTAAGGTATATATCAAGCTCTTTGGGCTTTAAGTAACAGTGCTCCTTCAGATCTTGGGGAAAAGGCCAGCGATGGGTTTACCTGGAGTTTCTATAAGGATCTGGGTAGCCATGTTTTATAGTTCTTGATGATGCCAAGGTAGGAGGGAGGGAAAGAAATTGGAAATGTTAATTTGGAGTAATGTAACCAGATATTGAACGAAACTAGAAGAATGGAAAATTTGGTATGGGTTGACAATTTAGAATCTAATCCAGTTTACAGGTAGGTAACAAAACTGTTTTCTTCAACAGTGGGAATAAAATTCAATTGATGGATATACAAATTCTATCTTTTTTTTTTTTAAGAAACTAAAGTCTTTATTGGTAAATAGCTTACAATTAAATAAATAGAGCAGGGGTTTGTTAAAGAATAAAAACTAGGACAGAGGCTAGGTGTCTCTCCACCCCTGCCTCCGGCCCTAAGCTTCAGCCTTCTGGCTGTACACTTTGGATGATGAGGACTTGATGTTGATGGGCAGCCCAGCCTTTCTCGAGCCCTTAGGGGCCTCTGTCTTCCTGGACAGGTGTGCAGGCACCACCTTGGACCCACTGGCCTTAGCAGAAGCACCCTTGGCATTCGGCCCCTGCCCAGCCCTGGGGGCATCTGCCCCTCTAGGGGCCTGGGCCTTGGCCTTGGCTACCAACTTCTTTTTGGTTGGGGAAGCAGCACCATTCTTGACCTTGCTGACCATGGGTCTTGAACTCTTACTCCCGGCTTTGATTTTCCTGCAGGCCTCAGCATCTCCTCGGCTCCTCCTGCTGCCTTTGGCCTCTGCCTTCCTGCTGAACCTTGCGCACATGACAGCCCCCCAGCCCAGCCCCGCTGGAGGGAGCCTGGGGCCTGCGGCCGAGGGGGACAGGGCTGCCTCCAAGGCACTAGAGGAGACCCGCCCAGCCCCCGAGAAGGCAGAGGGCAGCAAACTGAAGTCACCCTGGCAAGCAGCTGGCATCTGCCCCCGAACCCCTTCCTGGTGCCCCTGGAGCTTCTGGGTCGGGTGGCCACCCCTGCTAGGGTGCCATAGCTGGCAGTGCACACCATGAACCCCCGAGCACATGAACCCCTGAGCACATGTCCCTCCTGCCTGTACCTCAGGACAAGCATCTGACCTTCTTAAGAAACTGACCAGTCACGGATACTCCCTGCCAGCAGGTCCTTCCCCCTCTGTGGGTGTTCTGTGACCGTGAATAAAGTTCTTATCAATCTGCAAAAAAAAAAAAAAAAAAAAAAAGAGAAAGGACTCCAGGCCCAGCCAAGGAGCTTCAGAGACCCCCACCCAGAAGCCCCCAGCCTGCAGAGCGAGCGGACCCAGCCCTGCCCCTGGAGAAACAGCCGTGGTTCCACGGCCCCCTGAACAGGGCGGATGCGGAGAACCTCCTGTCCCTCTGCAAGGAAGGCAGCTACCTAGTGCAGCTCAGTGAGACCAGCCCCCAGGACTGCTCCTTGTCTCTCAGGAGCAGCCAGGGGTTCCTGCATCTGAAGTTCTCAGGGACCCGAGAGAACCAGGTGGTGCTGGGTCAACACAACGGGCCCTTCCCCAGCGTGCCTGAGCTGGTCCTCCACTACAGTTCCTGCCCCCTGCCTGTGCAGGGAGCCGAACATCTGGCCCTGCTGTACCCTGTGGTCACGCAGACCCCCTGACAGCGACCCTCGGCCCCCTTTTGAGTCCTCGAGCCTAGAATTGTATCCCAAAGCCCTCCCCTGGCCTAGAAAATAAATAAGTTATTGTCTAAAAAAAAAAAAAGACAGATTTGTATATCCACCAGACAAGATAGAATTTGTATATCCATCAGTTACAAAGAGGTAAGTAGCTGAAAGACAATAAAAAGGACAAAAATCTTATAATCCATAAAGGTGGGCTATAGGTTTTCCTTATTGTATATTTTTAAGGTGTGCAACATGATGTTTTGATATAGATATACATAGTGACGTAATTACTGTAGTCAAATAAATTAACATCTGTATCTCACATAGTTCCCTTTCATTTTTGTGTGGTAATAAGTATCTAAACTTTACTCTCTTAGCAAATTTCCAATATACCATACAATATTATTAACTATAGTTCTCATATTGTACATTAGCTCTTTAGGCTTATTTATCTCACATAAGTGCAACTTTGTACCCTTCGACATGTATCTCGCCATTTCCCCTGCTCCCTATTACTATGACTTTTGTAATAGTCATCTGTATTAGTCAGTTCTAGCATTGCCACATCCCTGGTAACCACTTTTCTACTCTCTCTTTCTATATATTCTATTTGTTTTAGATTCCCGATTAATGAGAGATCGTGTAATATTTTTCTTTCTCTGTCCTGTTTATTTCACTTAGCATAGTATCCTCTAGGTTGATTCATGTTGTCACAAATGGCAGAGTATCTTTTTTAGGGCTGAAAAACAATGTGAATATTATTCAGCCCTAAAAAGAATACTCTGCAATTTGTTCATAATCTTATGGAATTATGCATATATATACCACTACTTCTTTATCCATTCTATATCAACAGACATTTAGGTTATTTGCATATCTTCATTATTGTGAATAATGCTGCAGTGAACAAAGAAGGGCAGATACCTTTATAAAGTGGTGATTTTATCTCCCTTGAGTATATACTCAGAGGAGTGATTGTTGGTTCATATGGCAATTCTATTTCCAGGTTTTTTTTTTGAAACTTACAAATTACATTCCAAAATTGATACACTAATTTACATTTCCACCAACAGTGTACTAGAGTTGACTTTTTCTTCCACACTCTTGCCAACACTTGTTGGCTCTTCTATTTTTTTTTTTTGTAATAGTCATCTGTATTAGTGAGTTCTAGCATTGCTATAAAAAAATACCTGAGACTGGGTAATTTATAAAGAAAAGAGATTTAATTGGCTCACTGTTGTGCAGGCTGTACAGGAAAAATGATGCTGACATCTGCTTGGCTTCTGGGGAGGCCTCAGGAAACCTACAAACACGGCAGAAGGCAAAATGAGAGCAAGCACCTCACATAGCTGGAGCAGGAGGAAGAGAGAGAGGGAGGAGGTGATACACACTTTTAAACTACCAGGTCTCACAAGCACTTAGTCACTATCAGGAGAGTAGCACCAAGGGGCACATCCACCCCCAGGATCCAATCACCTCTCACCAGGCCTCACCTCCAACATCAGGGATTAGAATTGAACATGAGATTTGGGTGGGGTCACAGAGAGAAAAAATATCACCATCTTAACTGGTGTAAAGTGATATCTCATTGTGGTTTGATTTGTATCACTTTGATAATTAGTGATGTTGAGCACCTTCTCTCATACCTGTTGGTCATTGATATGTTTCTTTTGGAGAAATATCTATTCAGGTCTTTTGACCATTTTTAAGTTGGGTTATTGGTTTTCTTTCTATTGATTGGTATGAGTTCCTTACATACTTTTAATATTAACCCCTTATCAGATATACAATTTGCAAATGTTTATTTTGTTGTTCTGTGGCATGCAAATTCTGGTAATGTCAATCAAAAAAGTTTTATACAAAATATCTATAACATAGTGATTAGCCTTATTTTCAGAGAAAAGTGGATAGATATCTCATTCATAAAAATGAATAAGCACAATTATTACACAGAAAAAAATCTTCAAATGTGTAAGAATCCTGACACATAACACACCATAAGTATATCAAGTATTTAGTTAGAATATACCAAGACTATATCAAGGGTATCAAGTAAAGAGATTCAGTCAGTCTAGAGTAGGTCCTAAACAACAGTATATGAAAACTCCATAGGTTAGTGATATGAATCCCCCATTGAAAACCACTGGTCTAGAACATACTAGATTGAATTTTAAGAAGTAAAACTGTGACCAAGTTAATGTTTTTAAAAATAATTAAAGTTATCAGTAATAACACCATACTGTTGTATAATATTAGGCAAAATAGCACCAGTACTCTGGTAAACAGAAACATCATGGACAGCAACAACACGGAAAATTCTCTAAGAACTTCATATAATTTCTGAACTACTTATATTAATAACATTTTACTCAACATAGATTTGACCTAAGAAAGGCTAAATGTCTCTTCTGATTTGACAACCCTTCCTATGCAACTCATAACATTTCAAATAAACCTAATTATTTCTAGTACTTCTCTTTGTACAAGGTGAAAGAACAACTCCTTTGTGATTTTCCAGGGACCTTCTGGGATGCAAAGGAAGTTTTAGGTGCTAAAGATAACACTTAAGATCCAATTTAAGGAAGACAAAATGCCAAAATTTGTCAGGAGGTTTGAACACTCTATTAAATAGAATCATGGGTGAGTGGAAAACAATACTTGGTTACTTATTTAATCCAAATGACAATGAAACAATTTAAAAGTAAATATAGGAGGTAATATGATTGTAGAAAACATTCACACTTTCAAATGGGATATGAGGCTGGGTGCAGTGGCTCATTGCTGTACTCCCAACACTTTGGGAGGCAGAGGTGGGAGGATTGCTTGAGTCCACGAGTTCTAGAACAGTGTGAGCAAGATAGCAAGACCCCATCTCTAACAAAAAATAAAATATAAAAAAAAAGAAAAAAATGTGAGATGAATTTTCTTCTCAAATAATCAAAGATGTAATAAAGTCAACATAAAGCATCAGAAATTATTCTGATAAGACACAGACTATTTACCTTCAAAGCAGAATACTTAAAAGGTAAAGGAAAACCTTTTCCAACCTCTTAAAAGAAGATCAATAATTCATGAAAATATTGTCATTTTTAGAGAAAAGCAAATTCTAATTTTGTATCAGTACATTTGACACTAAAGTGCTTTCTAAATATTATCAACAAATGTATCAACGTTTGTTTTGACCACTGCAAAATTCTCTTTATCTGACTTTTTATAACTTTTTATATCTATTCAGGTTTTATCCTATGCTTTTTTCTTTACCACTCTGGAACAAACAGTTTTTTGACTTAGGACAAAACTATTCTCTTTTTCTTAATAAAAATATATTCTGCCTACCTTGCATATGTATACTATGTTGATTACAATTTTTACCATTGATAATTCTGTTTTACAAAGAAACTTAGAGGTAAATAACTGTGAACTATCTGGCATACATTGGTATTTTGTAGCAGACTAGCAAAGCTTCAAGATATACATTTAACAACTTTTTTGTTGTCCTTACACAAAGGATATAGTACTACATCCTTAAAGTACAATTTCCTAATTTGGCAAAAATGGAAACACTAACACATGTATATATGTCCTTAAAATTATTTATAGTATGATTTCAGTATTTTATCTCATTTTTAATGATCTACATATATAATGAATATTTATTAATTAGACTAATTTAGATAAATCCAAGGTTTTCAGCTACCTAAACAGCTTGAAACTATCTTTTTTTTTTAATTTGTATAAATTTGAAGAGTACAAGGCCAGGTTATTTTTTGTTACATGGATATATTGCATAGTATAGTGAAGATGTCTGCGCTTTTAGTGTAACCGTCACCCTAATAACGTACACTGTACCCATTAGGTAATCTCTCATCCCACATTTCCTTTCCTCCTTATCTTACAACAGTCAGAATGACTACTATTAAAAAGTCACAAAATAACAGATGTTGGTGATGATTCGGAGACAAGGAAACACTTACACATTGTTAATGGTAATGTAAATTAGTACAACCTCTCTGGAAAACAGTATGGAGATTTGGCAAAGAATGAAAAAAAAAATTTAAACACCTGAATAGAAATAGAATTCATATATTGTACAATTCAGTCCCCTAATGGCACAATTCAACAGTTTTAAATATATTACTGATTTTTAAAAATTACACTAAAATTCTCTTTTAACCACTTTTCAGTGTTCAATTCACTGTCATTAAGTACATTCATAATGTTGTACAACCATTACCATTATCCTTTTGCAGAACTTTTTCATCATCCCAAATAAAAACTCCATACCTAATTAACAAGAACTATTCTTTCTATCCTCCCCATTCCCTGGTAACCTCAATTACACTTTCTTAGTCTATGAATTTGCCTATGGGAGATACATCATATAAATGGAATCACACAATATGTGCCCTTTTTTTGGTCTGGCTTATTTCACTTAACACAATTTTTTCTAGGTTCCTCCCTGTTGTAGCATGTATCAGAAATTCATTCCTATTAATGGCTGAATAATATAATATTGTATGCATATACCATATTTTATCTGTTCATCTAGATGGACACTAAGATTTTTTCCTCATTTTTTTCTTTTGTGAATCATACTACAAAGAACATCTAACAAGTATTAAACAGAACAAGTATCCGAATATCTGCTTTAATTTCTTTGATTATACACCTAGGAATGGAATTGCTGAGTCATTAGTAATTCTATGTGTAGCTTTTTGAGAAATTGCCAAACTATTTTCCCTAGCAGCTGCATCATTTTACCTTCTCACCAGCAATATATGAGGGTTCCAATGTTTCCACATTCTTGCTAACACTTCTTAGTTTCCATTTGTAAGTTTTAAATATAGCTGTCTAAGCAGGTGTGAGGTGGTATATCATTGTGGTTTTGATTTTCATGTCTCTAATAACTAATGTTGCACATATTTTCATGAGCCAATTGGCCATTTGTTTATTTTTTTTTAATAAATGTCTATGCAAAATTTTTACTGTGTTGT